TGATAACGTTCACCTGTCATTATTAACATTCTGCAAATTCCGTTGAACGGTCGACGGGCCGACCTCACGGGGCCCTGAAAGCACAAGGTGGACAGACATGGGTACGTTAGGTTTTTGAAGAATCTTTCATCGTGCTGCTTGTTCGTGTACGCTGCTGCCCCAGGTATTTGCCACTCATAGGATAGAATTGAACGGAATGCCCGGCTCACAGCTTACAAATTGAAACGCAGTACCTAGTGGTCGATCATCAATTCAAGAATCTTTCTTCAGCCCCAGTTCGATGCCTTTGGTGGAGCAATGTTATTCACACAGTTCATGACCTACCACGCGTCCAGCGGGCCTTCTCTTGGTCACGAGATGCACACTATGCGAGGAAGTGGGAAATACTATACTAGCACCTGCGAGCTTACCCTGTCGGGGAAGCTCTAAACCTGACTTTTACAAACCATTCTCCCAAGCGGCTGTATTTCTATAATCCTGGCTCCTTTTGAAGTCTCGTTTTCGCATGTCGTGCTACTTGTCGTGTCCGCGGCCCCCAGTGGATGCTCTTTCCCGTCCACGATAGAGGGTTTGGATCCCACAAATGGGCCCAATGCACCGGATGGAGGCCTCTGTGATGACGCTCTCTGTGATGACGCTCTCTGACGGACGTAAAAGTCCAGCTTGAGGATCACCCCGGCTCAACGCAAATTGAGAGAGTTCTAACTCCGGCCACACAAAATGCCAGTTACTTAGAGATCTTGATGGAAACTCACATAAAGCAAGATCCACGAGGCTCGCGTGTACTTATCAAGTGCATAAAAAGGCGGGATATATCCACCAACTTTGGTTCCTCCCATATTTTTCCACCATGATCTTCATAGGATGTATTACGATCGCACTGGCTCTCACAGGGACGGCCTTTTCTGCTAATGTCCAAAACCCTCATATCTTTCTTCCCCCAAGTGCTGCTGCCAATCAGGCCGCTGTTGAAAAGATCTTCACAGAGAGCTACGCTGCATACAAGTGAGTTCAGCGCGTTCAATACTCGTCATTTCTTTTACTTATTGGTAACTTTTTAGAAAGTTTGCGTTTGGTCATGATGATCTTTCTCCTCTAAGTCAAAGTAAGCGAGAGAGCCTGCAAATTTTACTTGGCTTAATTCTTACTTTCCTTCCCGAATTTAGGTTTTTCCGATGGGCGTAATGGATGGGGTAATTGCTTGTTTACACCGTCCTTTTCTATCGAGTGCTGAAATTAGGAACGAACCCAGGTGCATCCATTGTCGATGCTATGTCTACCATGGTGTTTACCTTCGACCTTTCAATTCGACGACGAGCTAATCTATTTCATGAATATTACAGCATATTATGGGACTGGATGTGAGCCCCTTTTTTCCCCGAGTTATCGTCATTGATTTTTGATCGGAATTACCACAGGATTTGTTTGAGGAGGCCGTAAATTTCTCGAGCCATATCGACTTCAGCATATCCCAGACACCCGACACTGTGAGGTCAGTTTTATAATTGTTATTCTCCTTTCTCGTTCAAGGTTTAATGGTTCATTTCTTACAGCGTATTCGAGACCACCATCCGTTATCTGGGTGGCCTTCTCAGCTCATACGAGTTGAGCGGTCAGAAGTTCCCCGCTCTTCTAGAGAAGGCTAAGGAAGTCGCTGATAAGTTAGCATTTGCATGGGTTGGAGTAAGTTTTTTATCCGCGGAACGAAGAGGCATAATCATCCAACGTTCATCTGTACCACAGTCGAATGATATTCCGTTCGGGTTTCTGGATTTCTCGACTAATACCCCGACGATTGACACCGTACGTTTTTTTTGGAGTCCTGATTTACCTCCAAACGCCCATAATTCTCACACTTGTCTTCCTTATTTCTTTCTTCAGTCGAACATTGCAGAGGCCGGAACGGTAATAACGCTTTGCTTGATTCCCATTTCCCTACGATCTCACACATTTTCTCATTAAAAGCTTACGCTCGAATTTTCGACACTTACCAAACACACAGGAAACCAGACATATGCTGATTTGGTTCTTAAGTCCGTCACCCACATCGCTAACCTTGTGAGTACGACATTTTATATACGTGCCGAACTAACACCGTGTCGACATCTCTTCCCAGCCCGCACCTTTGCCAGGTCCGTACTACTCCAACCGGCCGCCATGTCGTCGAAAAAGCACTTCGTTAACTCATGTAACCATTAGGACTTGCCGCACAAGGAATCGACCCTGCTTCAGGTCAATTCGTAGGTGGTTACGTTGTGAGTTACCTTCGCCAGTCTGCAGTAATATTCCTAATAACACGCTTGTTTATAGACCTGGGGAGGGGGTTCGGATAGCTACTTTGAATACCTCATCAAGTTTGCTCGGTTATCCAATACCGACAACAACTTATTCGCGGACACATGGCACACCGCTGTTGATTCGTCCATTAAAAATATGTTGAGGGTAGGGCAATATGATATGATTTATTTGTTCATGATACCAGCGTTACTTACTATCTTATTTTTTGTAGACTTCGACTGTTGGAAACCATTTGTACATGGCAGATTTTGATGATCAAAAATTGATACGCCATATAGGATCGCATTTGGAATGTTTCATGGGCGGGAACTGGTTGTTGGGTCTGTGTTTACTTTTTTTATCTCGTCTGTTACCAGAGCAGGATATATTGACAGTTTGGCATAATAGGCGGACGTCTTCTGAACAATGTGACTATTGTGGAGATTGCGCTTGGACTGATTGACGGTTGCTGGAATACCTATGCCAGCGATGCGTACGTTTTATGGTTTTCCTTCAAGAACTCCAAGTGATATGGCATCTCTAAACAGAACCGGAATAGGCCCCGAAGTTTTTGCTTACATTTCCTCTGATGGTAACTTCACAGGCGGCGATCCACCTACCGCTGATCAACTAGCTTTCTTCAATGAACATGGATACTACATTACCGTCGCCGATTACATCCTACGACCTGAAGTTCTAGAATCCAACTTTTATGCATATCGCGTCACTGGAGACAGCAAATATTTGGACCGCGCTGCAAGTGCAGTCAATAGCTTTAACAAGTTCTTGCAGACTCCTACTGGGTTCGCGGGGTTATTTGATGTGAATAATGTTAAATCTGACAAGGTCGATGATACGGAGAGTTTTTGGTTCGCCGAGGTGTTGAAATATCTGTAAGTTGTGATCATTCCAGAATATTGCTACCTTCATGGTTAACCTTCTCTCCCCAAGGTATCTGACATTTGATGATCCAAACCATATCAGTCTCGATGAATGTAAGTAGTACTTCCATCATTGACTTTATACAATAATTGCTGAATCTTCGAATCCATACTTTGTAGGGGTCTTCAACACCGAAGCTCACCCATTTCAAGCTCCACCTGCGAAACCCTTCTATGGGAGCACGTCAGGTAGCATCCGACCTCCGATTGGCCCTTTCAAATTCCAAACTGGACCGTCATTGCCACTGATCAGCCCAGGTGTAGGAGTGCCGAAGATAATCACGCCCCAGTAACCCTGAAAGAAGGGCTTGGGGAGGCAATGTATTTATTATGCATTGAAATGTTATAGCTTGCCTGAAATTGAGAAAAAGTTGCAAGTTTCAATTTCCATCCCATTGCAATTGATCTCTTACTAGTGTAATGAAAATCGCAAATAATTACAATTTTTTGTTTCATAGTAGCACTGCGAGTTTCTTTTGATTTCGACAAAGCCAAAAAACATACATATTTATCTATTAAAATACGTATGTATCATATGATACTTGCATGCCCAAATCATCATTTTCTGCCAACACGACGGCTGCCGATGTTCGCCAGCGCGGTTTTCCCAGTAAAGACAGTAGGGATGGAGAGAAATGCGCCGTAAAAGAGGACTTGGCCAAGTTTGAGATCAACCCAATACCAGAATAATAGGCCTTCAAAGGCGCCGAGACATAGAATGAATGGAAAAATGCTAGGAGAAAGAAGGTGTGCTGGGCGCGGGGCAACTTGAGACCACTGTTATGGTTGTTAGTTAAACAATGATGATGCATTGGGGGGGGAAAAGCTTACCAAACTCAAAAGAATAACCCAAGGGGTCAAGACCAGAGCCGCTGAAACTGCAGAGATGAAACGCGGAGGGGCCTTGTGATCTGGGCGGAAGGTGTGTTTGATTTCAGGGCGAGGACGGTAAGCAGCTTCGTCCGGGTGTTCAGGTGCAGGAGGGGAGCGAGGGAGAATGAGGTCGAAGAGTTCGATGGAGAGAGGGTCGTGGAGGGGAGAACCGATGAGGAGGGTCACTTGTAGTGGGTCGCTTTTGGGTGTAGGAGGTAGCGAGAGGGGAGGTTTGGATAAATTCTAAAAGAACTCCTTGAATACAATGAAGTATTTAATGGGTGAAATTTGTGACATACAAGTTCGAATTTGCCTTTCCCGCCTAGAGTTACACGTATGGGTTGTATACCTTCCTCGCCTGATTTCTTGTCATAGAAGCGCAGGAACGTTTGGTGGGGTTGCACGCCTTTGTCTGTATCATCGATGATTTGGAATGTGAGTTTAAGTGTATCTGTTTGTGAGAGAACTACAGGTGTAGATGGTTTGTGTTCAAGAGATATTCTATGTGAAGGATGGGGCCTTGTTATGAACACAAAATTTCTGGAGATACAAGCATGACGCACGGTTCTGAACGGATTTGCGAGCCTGTTGATTCTGTGACTGTGAAACGGGGAGATTTCAGCGTTAATATCGATGCTTGTGCCGATAAAGCAAGCAGGAGAACAGGAAATAATGAAAACATATTGAGACGACGCGGAGGAGGAGAGTAATTCTGACGTGTTAGCGTGTGAGCGCGTCTCAGTTTGGCATCCTCCACCGAATCAAACATTTCCTTTTCTCCAGTACTACTTATTCCAATATCATTCATTAGATGGCTCTCAAATCTGGTATGTGAAGGTACAACACGGAGGAAGTAGTATTTGTAAAAACAAAGGTATTTACAACAAAAAGATCTAGACAAAAAGGACAAGTCCCGACGGTGGTTCGAACACCGGACCTCACGATATGTAGCTATCAGAGCTGCAATCGCATGCTATACCACTTAGCTATCGAGACGATATTTGATGGTCAGCGTTTGATACAAATGTCAGAATGATATTTAACATTCGAGTCCATGTGCTCCGCTATACTTACAAGATGTTCCGTTTCAATTATTTTCTTTTGTTGTTTATATTTTCACACTTGGAATAAAAATCCTTCGTCGTATACTCGTTTTCCCTCAGTCTCCTCTTACAAAAATAGGGGCATGTATTCCACAGTCAGTCCCGACGGTGGTTCGAACACCGGACCCTGCGATAACAGCTACTGCAATCGCATGCTATACCACTTAGCTATCGAGACGGCGGTCGACAGGAAACATGTGCAAATAAATACAAGTCAAGTTTTGAACGCGACGCGTCACCCAAATTCTGAGCTGAAATAACCGTCTCTCCCATTTCCATCATGGCCGACGTTGAAATGAAGCCCGCCGAGGACAAATTGTCAGATAAAAAAAATGAAGAGGACCAGAAACCTTCACCACCCTCTCCAGTCACTGAAATCAAGAATAACGTCGCGCTACTTGAGCGAGCAGTCTCCACCCTTGAACCTCGATTTACTCATCGTGTTTTACGCACACTGACGGCTTTGCGGAAACGAATCAACGACACTGTCCTCAGAGAAGCTATCGAGTCGATTTATCCTAAAGGTGACTTGCTTTTCATATTCATACTTATTTGAGTTCATCATTTCCAAATAATATCGATAGATAATGCAACGAAGGAGTCTTTGCTTTCATGGCTACCTTCTGCATCTTCCCCCGCCGATCAGTCGATGCAAATTGACTCTGCAGATCTACCTAGTACCCCCGAGCCGCTACCCGAAGCAGAGATGTATCTCCGTCTTCTCATCCTCTACCACCTCCTTACATCAGAAGACACTCATGAAAATGCTCTGGAATTGGCTAATGAGACTGTAGAGAAGATGCAGGCTCTGAATCGCAGAAGCATGGATACTATCGCTGCAAAAATCTGGTTTGCTGTTGATCGGGCATACGACTTAGCTGGGGAGCTCTCCGATGCACGACCGTAAGCCACTTCGTTTGTACATGTACTTTTTCGATTTTGCTAACTAAGGAAAAAATTACCATATCTCAACAGACTATTCCTTGCAGCTCAACGAACGGCTTCTTTACGTCACGACGATGAAGCGCAGGCTGCTCTCATCAACTGTCTTTTGAGGAGCTATATCAGCTATAATCTATACGACCAAGCTGACAAGCTCGTATCCAAAACCACTTTCCCCGCCTCTGCAAGCAATGCACAATTTGCGCGATACCACTACTATCTCGGCCGAATCAAGGTGGTACAACTTAATTACACCGATGCACATACCAATTTGCAGCAAGCCATCAGACGAGCTCCTCCCCCGAAGACTGCTCCAGGCTTCTCCCAGGCTGTACACAAGTATTTCATAGTTGTCGAGTTATTGATGGGCGACATCCCCGATCGAAGCTTATTCAGACATGTCGTATTGGAAAAGGCACTCACTGCATATTTTGATATCGTCAAAGGTATTTACTCCCAAATTTTATCATCACTCAACCTTTACGACCACTGACAACCCTTTACGCTAGCCGTCCGCACAGGCTCCCTCTCACAATTCCAAAGTACTCTGTCCAAACACGTTTCCCAATTTGAAGAGGACAATACTTACACGCTCATCATCCGGCTCCGCCAAAACGTTATCAAGACTGGTATTCGACGACTCTCCCTCTCCTACTCCCGTATCTCCCTACGGGACATTTGTGTCAAACTCCACCTAGACTCGGAAGAAGATGCCGAATACATCGTAGGCAAGGCTATTCGAGATGGAGTCATCGAAGGCCGTATTGTGCATGAAAAAGGATGGATGGAATCTGGAACGCAGAAAAGTGGCTATGGGCCAGAGGTCAGCGAGGTATTCGGGAGGAGAATTGCATTTTGTCTGGATTTACACAATCAGAGCGTGAAGGTGGGTTCCTTCTCTTCTCCTCATTCTTTCTCCCTCTCCCCTCTGACATGAGGGATTTTCTGACTGGATAGGCCATGAGATACCCGCTTAATGCACATCGGAAAGAATTGGCTGCTGCTGAAGGTGCGAGGGAGAGAGAGAAGGAACTTGTCAAGGAAATTCAAGATGGAGAATTGGATGATGAGGATCTTGGTGGAGCAGATTTCTAGCTGTTCTGGAGCAATGTCGTTGTCCTGTTGTAATAAATACTTGATTAGACGGACATTCAAACCCTCCTGCGCAAGTGCCGCGATCACGTGGCAAACCTCTATTCCAGTTTCGTTCTTTTTGGAACTACATATTGTTACTACGAGTACATCTCCCAAACATAATCTGTGGTTGGGCACTTATGTCGTTCATGACAAGACTCTGGAATGCCATCCGGAATCCTGTGAGCCTCACTTTTGAGGAAGTTATCTTGTTGCAGAGTTCATGCAGACCTCATTATTGCTCTTTATGATAGATTCGTTGTGTAGGCCGAGACCTTGAAGGTATGTCTTTTTCTGTACACCAAATACTCTGTTTCATCTCGAATTATCATATTGGACCTGTGTAGGAAATCGTTTCTATGAACGCCCGTCACCGAATGGTAAATGTTGATCTCGAGGTTCTTTGGCATGGTGTTCTCATATTTCTACCTTCGCGTGTCGTACTTGGTGTAGAATTGACCCGACCAATTCGCAGTATACAGTATCGAGATCCTGAGGATATGTGGAAGTACACCGGTGGAGGAAAACGACTTCCCAGTGCGTCTTTGTTAACTATTATATCACTCTACAGAATCACACTCATTATGTTTTTTTTTGTGTGTGCTTCCTATTTTTGAAAAACGGAACAACAGTCCAGTGGTCTGCATGGCTCGCTCATACCCGACCTCATCCACCAACGATACAGGTCTGTCTTTTTGTTCTTTTCCTGGTTCAACATCAAAATGAAATTTCGTACCCGGTTTTTTTGTTTCCTCGAAGGAATTACAAGCCGACATAGCGCGTCAACAACGCGTGCGGGATAACGTGGCTCTGATCGAAGCTAGGGATCGTGCTGAAGACCAAGAAAGGCTGAGATTAAGACAAGAAGACACGCAAATAGCTTTGCGGAGAGCATTGACCGACGTTTCTTCTTCGGGTGAATATCCTCATCAAGAACAAGCGGGGGCTCGAAGCCAGGACGATTCGGCCCATAGTACCAACGCCAGAGCTTCTGATATACGCGGAGGACAAAAAAATGGCCTGGAAAGCAAAGTAGAAGAGGTTCCGAGTCCAGCGTCGAATAATGGTACACTTTACCCAAAGAATGGCCCGAAAATACGACCTCCTGCTTTCCTTACTCCCGCCAAATCACCGAAATCCCAATCGAAGACGCCAATATCCTCTTCAGCGTTTACTGCACCCTCTGGAACTATAGGGCGTTTGACGCAGGGTGGTTTCGGGGGAGAACACCAATGCCAACGGAAGAAAGCTGAGAGAGAGTCATCAGATGCGGCTCAATCTGATTCTCAAGCGCACAAGTCAGCGGACGATGCTAGTCCATTGCCTGTGATGCCATCGAGGGTTACTGAGACGGAAAGTTGGACGCCGAAAGCCAGAGCCAGAAGATGACGAAAGGAGGTTGAATCAACGACGCTTCGCAAGCGTTTGTGTATATAGTCAGCCGCATGGGGACGTGTTTGAGTATATATGGTGTGTGATTCTTATCCTATTTGCAAGCTTGAGCCATCTGGAATTCCCTATTATATAAGTGCACTTTATGTACCCTTTAAATAATTACAATGTTTATATCTCTTTTATCTCTCTCTTATTCATCAAACAAGCGGGCAGTCTTCACCTTAAATCGCACCCTCGACGCTCCACCTATTGCACCACAAGCATGGCTCATACGACACATCGAGAACCCGAAATCCGAAAAACGATATAGAGCAGAAACATTCATCATGGACAAGAGGAGAATGACCTGTTGGGTTATTAACCATATAGTTTCACTATGAACAACGGGAGAACTCACTTTTCATACCAGCGTCCGACTTATTAATTTAGTTTAGTTTTTTTTTTGTAGCCGCTTTTGCGGCCTTGGCACGTTTGTCGAGATCGTCATCTTCTTCTTTCTTTTTCTCTTGTTCCTTCTTTTTCTCTTGTTCTTGGTTTTGGGTTTCCTCTTGTTTATTCGTCTTACTATCTTCCTTCTTTTGCCTGACAGTATTTGTCTCGCTTCTCAAGTCATTGCCTGCTCCAACATGCACGGTTTTTCCACGATACTCGCTAAAAAGGCCAATACATCAATTTGGCCTCTGTATAACCCAAAAAAAAAAAGTACATACAAGGGAAACTTTGGAGGTTCTTCGTCTGAGTCATCTGCCAAATCTCCGTCGTCGACAACAGCTGCAACAATGGGTGAGGACAACGGAAGGCTGAGCACGAGTATGCGTCGAAACCCGTACATTTGTTCTCGATAGCATTAGCAACACTTGCATCCCTTTTCTTGGACGCTCCAGAGTAACCGGTGACGGAAAGCTTATCGACAGATCCCATTTTTTAATCCGCGAGTATTTGAACTTCAAACATTCACAGAGAGAGGACAGGGTATTGTCAGTAACCGATATCGGAGTGGACGAAGCAGCTCACTGCTGTGTTACTTGATAGATAACGGCGATCCTGGGGGAATAGTCGGGTGGTGGAGAGAGTCAGAAGTGTCGGGTGGTGGAGAGAGTCAGAAGTGTTTAACGCCGGGAATTTTGAAAGCTATGACTTTTATACTTTAAGCGCCTTGCCGTTCCCGTGAGATTCGGCGAGGAAGTCAAGATAACAAAAGAAAATGTCCCATGTTGGAAATTCAGTTCCAAACTTTCGGGCCCCTTCCACCTATATTCAAACGTAACAACTAATCAGAGCGTACTGACTGGCGGAAAGGCTCAAGGCAAGGCAAACGGAAATTAATGCTTTTCTGATGCTGATAGGTTTCGCATGGCAAGTAAATGCTACCGAAATCCCTTCAAGTTAGTGCATGATAGACGTCAATCATAAACGTCAACA